ACAATACAGTGCAAAATAATTCATTGTAATGCTGTATAGTACAGTACAATACAGTGCAAAATAATTCATTGTAATACTGTATACTACAGTACAATACAGTACAATACAGTACAATATAATTCGTTGTAATACAGTACAGTACAATACAGTACAATATACAGTAATTTGTTGTAATACAGTACAGTACAATACAGTACAGTACAATTATTTGTCCCCTATGAGAAATTTGTCTTGGGCAAGTGCTACAAGTAAAGGGTACAATATAAGGTTTTAGCTGCAAAATGCAGCCTGGTAAAGACTGTTTTAGACTGGATGGTGTTTAGAAAAGAGTTTCAAGAAGCTGTATCCATTAGGACTTTAGATCCTGTGGATATCAAACAGCTTTTTTTTGTTTAGAAAAAAGACAAAATAACAAATCAAAACTGATTTAAGAGTGTATTTGTATTATATAACCCAATTTTTGCTTTCTGAAAAGCATATTTAGTTTTGATATTTACATGTTTAGGATTAGGCAAGTTACCTGTAGTCCTTAGAAACTGCTCTGCTTGGGGGAAAAAGCTTTCCTAATAAGCCTCAAGCAATCTCAGCCGTTTTGCTTGAAGGATCCCATCTCTTTGAAATCCCCAAGAAAAACAAAATTGGAAGACTGCAGTGCACGTTTTTTGACAGGCGGGCAGGGTTTAGTGGGACCAGACCTCTACCTAAAAGATTTGGCCAAAACCACTCAGAGATTTAGCTTTTCCGTGGTAATTTAACAAGCCTGGTTTAAACGAGACTGTGTGTGAATCAATACAAATCTGCAAATCTACTGGTGCCCTGTGCTCCCTGGTGTCAGCACCTTCATTCTGGAAACAGCACAGGTATGAGATCACTGTCTGCTTTCATTTATTTGAGTCAACTTCGATTAGAGTGAGTATGCCTAAACCGGCAACAGCTTCTTGGTAGGTACAGCAGCTGGTCAGAGCTTTTTGGTAGACTTTTTTTTTCTTGTCCTCATCGTCCTGTGACATGAAAGTGACATGACTTGCTGTGTCTTTAAAGAGGACATATCATGCAAAATCCCCTATTTTATCTATTAAATGTATTTTGTTGTGTACTTGGAGTGCAGAAAAATTCAATTTAATTTCTCCTGGTGCTGCGTAGATATCTTTATGTTCTGTTTGGTTCTCATTTTTCAATCAGTTAATTTTTTTAATTTTCTGTTACGTTTTCTGAACTATTATGTCACAATTTTTGCAACAGAACTTCCAAATAAGGTCTGGACTTACCAACTACAATTTGGTGGTCTATTGCCCTCTGGCTCTGGGTCAGACTCTGGTTCCAACATGTATGGCTGGATGGACAAGTCTTCCATTATTGACATATTTTAATGAAATTGTAAATAAAACGTTTTTGCATTGCTACATAGTCTATCAAATTAGAATGAACCACTCTGGGAACTGGAGGAGGGTATTGTGTGAAGCTCCTCGTTTGGATTTAAAGAGACAGCCTCAAAAGGTGTTGATCTGAGACACGCCTCAGAAAAGGGGCGGGGCTTGTGGAGTTACAACACAGAGGAACTCAGACCAAAGCAATGCAGGTCCACTTTATATAGACCCCAAATGAGTGGTTTTAAAATTAAAAAGATTTAAAAGCAGGATGTCTCCTTTAATCAGGGTTGTATTGTCCTGAATTTGGCACTAAGAAGAGAGTAAGATTGCCTTAATATCTGGGCAGGTGACACGCTGGGCAATCCATCACAGAAACACACAATACAACCATGTACACATGCTCACTCCCAAAAATGCAAATTAACCTAACACACATACTTTTGGACTGAGAGTGGAAACTAAAGTACCTGGAAAAAACCTTCTCATGAACAGAAAGAACATGCAAATTCCACTCAGAAAAACCTGTTGAGATTCAAACCTGAGACCGTCTTGCTGTCAGGTGACAACGCTAACACTGCTCCGTTGTTCCTTTTCTGTTTGCTCCAGCCTTTTCATCTTGACAAAATTTCTGTAAATGTGGCTACATTGATTTTTTTTTTTAGACGAAAAATATGTTCAATAGGTTGTCTTCAGACCCAGATTTGTCTGGTTAAATAAAGTTCAATAAAGGATACACCAATTCTGATGGTTAAACTATGACCCCACAAAATCTTTGTTGCCATATTTTAAAGGGATCCCCGATTAGTTGTAATATTAGACTTTATTTGATAAACATAAATTTTAACTGTAAAATAAAGACTGTAAAAATACTGTAGGCTGTTAAGTTTTGTAAATTTTTAAAAATATATTTTAACACGGATGGAGCCATTTTACTTACATGCAAAGCATTCTGGGTAAATGATGACATGGATAGGTTCTCATTGTGAGTGAGCTATATCCACCCTGAAGGTTAATCTTGGACAATATCTGATGAGCAACTCTTTTAAATGAAACCAGAGAGCGTTGACAGAGAGGAGAAGGTAGAAATGACTCAGACTGTAACTGAAAATATGGATGGAGGACAACAGAGCTGCTTCATGAAGGAAGAACCTCAGCTTAGCCTGTTATCCTTTGTGCTACCGCCGACACTATATTGCCTTATATGTATTAGCTCAGCGCTAGCATGACAAACAAGCTAAACTGAGGTCCTCCATCCATATTTTCAGTTGCAGCTGAGTCATTTTTACGTTCTCCTCTCTGTCATGTGGATGGAGGACCTCAGTGATGAGAGGAGAATGTGTAGCGCTGAGCTAATACATGTATATGGTGATAGCGTCGAGGCTAATGCTAAAGCTAACAGGCAAAGCTGAGGTTCTTCTTCCATGAAGCAGCTCTGTTGTCCTCCATCTATATTTTCAGTTACAGGCTGAGTCATTTCTACCTTCTCCTCTCTGTCAACGCTCTCTGGTTTCATTTAAAAGAGTCGATCATCAGATATTGTCCAAGATTAACCTTCAGGGTGGATATAGCTCACTAGCAGCCTCGCACCGAGGACCTATCCACGTCATCGTTTACCCAGAATGCTTTGCGAGTAAATAAAATGGCCCCATCTGTGTAATATATTTTTAAACTTTTAGTTTAAAATTGATAAAAACTGAACAACCTACAGTATTTTTACAGTCTTTATTTTACAGTTAAAATATATGTTTATCAAATAAATTCAAATGTTACAATTAATCATGGATCCCTTTAAGAATTGGTGTGCTAAATACTTTTCTTTACATAGTATAATACTCTAAAGTGTATCAGAATAAAAATATAAGGTACTTACAAATTTATCCAAAATGTAAAAGTCAGTTATCCTGTGGCATTGTAACATTTAACAGAATCCTATCTTTTTTTTTAACATTAAAAAAGCAGAGATAAATAAATTAAATGTGAGTTGATTGATTGAGGCATGAAGCTGTGATTTTAGTTTAACCAGTTCTAATTATGTTTATCATGGATTCTGAATATCTGATTAGTTCATTTTTGAATGTTTAATAATATTAATATTTTATGTAGACCCTTTTTAAAATTCATGTTTAAAAGGTAAAATAAGTACAGCATTCCTACTTGACAAATTCCATGCATTTTCTATAAAGAAATGTGACAGTGTTGATGTTTTGGGTTTTAAGTAGCAACTTACAGAAATATCTTCATGGGACCCTCAGAGGATCCAGTTCTTTGTTTTATATTCTGAGTGTGTTCAGAATTGCAAGGAGGTGTCCGCTAAAAATGCCAAAAAAGCAGCTGGTGTTTAAAAAAAAAAATTTAAGAGCGGGTCTCATTGGCTGTCCTGTTTAGCAGGAGACGAGGTTGTTTTGCTCACCAAGTTTGAAGTGGATTGGGATGTGACGGGCTAACAGGCAGGAGCAACACTGATGGGAATCTTTGTGTTTCAACAAGACGGGGGCTTAAACTAAAATCTTTGAAAATTTAATGCGAATCTGTGAGCCCATTCTCTTTGTAGCTGGATTTTCTTTTCTTTGCCATCATGTGGCATCGAGGATTTGTCGTTTGTGTAAACAAATAATTCCTCAGCAGATGTGCTCCTTTCAGTTTCAGTCTGTTTTACCTGATAAGTTATTCACAACACATTAGAGCTTTGTTATTTAAATCCCACATCAATCAAATTCGATGTGTTTATCTTTTTTTGTGTGTCAGCATCCTAAAATGATCTTTAAGCACAAGAAATTCACCAACATTAATCTAAAAGTCCTGCAGTTCAAAATAAATAAAAAAGATAATTTTCACAGTTTCGGTGTTAATGATCTTGTTTTTTTTCACGTGATCAGAATGAAAATGTTTTTTTCCTGTTTTGTAGGGAATGATTAAATATAGACTGTTAAAAGCGTCAACACAAAGGCTCTTATTTAATGCTGGGGTTATTTGAACTAATTGTGAGGAAAGTAATCTTATCAGAAAGTTTTTGGAAGTTAATTGTCGTGAAAGTACTACCCTGTCTCCCTGAACTGAGGCCAGTGATACCGTAATACATCAATAAGTCCATAAATCATGAATAATTTTGCAGGTTTAAATAAACAAGTAAGAAACCCCGGGGAGTAGAAGAGGTGATGAGAAACCGAAGGGACAGGATCTAATTAAATATTCCCCAGCAACTCAATTCTGTTAGTCCCTGCGCTCACGTTCCAGGCTTTGCAGGATGTAAACTGAGCTTATGAAAGTCAAGTCAGTTAAGTGTTGTTTTCAGACTGGTGCACTCAGAGAAACTCCATCTGTTGTAATAAAAGAAATAAACACAATAAATCATATTGATCATAGTTGATCATAATTATAAAAAAAATGACATATTCAAATTAGCTTTGAATGTTTCTTAATAACAAATCAGTTTGTTGAGAATTCAAAGCGTGATTTTGTTTTGTCTGTTAGATTGTATTTTCATTAATGATCCAAAAAAAAGGATTTTTTAGACATTAAAATAGGAGAAAAGTGCAGGAAGTGGTAGATATAGCACTGTTTGTGTTTTGAGTGAAATATAAAAAAGCAATATTATGCAGAGAAGTTCTGCAGTTTTGTTGACGACTTTGGTTCTTCAACACTTGAGAGAAAAACAAATCTCGAGGATTTCTCTTAAGCTGATTATCAGTATTTGTAGAAAAAAGTGAGTGGAGTTATTTTTTCTCTTACAGTGAGATGCAAAATAAAAAGCCATTTATTAGCAACACCAAACACAAGGCGGACAAAACTAAACTATAGAGGAAGAACAACAATATATTTTATTTAATGTGTACATTATTTTAATTTTGAAAAAAATAGAAGCTTCTGCTTAAAAAAAGCCCAGTTTACTCTGATTGGTCAACTTCACTCTCCTCACAAGAGACCACTGTTTGTACATGATAAAGCTCTGTTTATATTATATAATACAATGATTTTTCCTCACTTGATTTACTGTGTTGAAGTCTGGGGTAAAGTATTTAAAACAATCACAAATCCTATTGTTATTTTACAGAAAAGAGCAGTAAGAATTATCACCAGAAAACATTACAGTCA